AGCTTCGTGAATTTAGTGCCCCGGTTTTTAACACACACCCCCCCCCCGTTCTCTGTTCAGTTCTTGTGCCGCAATAAAAAATCGTCTAAAACGAGGCCACAGTTTGAAGGATGTTGCCAATTTGGTGCCAACACCGAACTTCTGAAAAGTACTCCGGAGCCAGAGTGACTCGAACGATCTGACCCCATATGAAGCAAGATATGCTTTGTGTTGGTCATTGTCTCACTGGAATCTGAGGATTTCTTTTTAGACATCCAGGGGGGATGTGTTAGGTAACAATAGTCTAGAGTGTGTACAGCAATTGGGCATGTTAGGGAGGGACCCCTCGGTCTCATTTCTTGCTGGATAGCATAATCTGATCCGCCAACGAGCCGAGATCGGGTCAGGTGTCTTAAAGGCGCTCTCTTGTTTGAAGATACGAAGGTGGAAACAAGCAGGAATAAAGTGTTCATTAGCTACGTATTTGTTAGTAGAAGTTGCATAATGTTTTGTTTGTTTTTAAAACTCTGTACATTGACATTGGTATATTAGAATAACATTAACCAGCTCTTTCTTGAATATGTATTTTTGCACAGTTATATATCTAAATGTATTTATAATGTATCATATTTTAGAATGGTAACATTTGTTAAGTACTTTATTACATTCATTACATATTAATGGGTTGACTGATATTTCTAGAGAGGTACGAGTGAATCTGATGTTGAAATGTAAGGTCATGTATGGTGAAAACAGAGGAGTGTGTGCCGAAGGGAATCAGTTTGAGAATGTGTCTCTATGGGTGTGTATCAGTGGAAAGCTATCAATTTCTGCCTCAAATTCCAATTATTATCCCATTAAATGCGCTAGGCTTTTAAGTCAGCAAATGTACCCATTCGGATGGGAATCTGGGCGTTTCTTAAATTCCCCCCAAATTGTCTCCCGACATTGCCCAATATCTTTCCTACCCAGGAAAACCTAAGGATGTCGAAAATGTGAAAGAGGTAACTATTTTTTTTTTATTTCTACAATATTTTCGTAGATGAGACTTTCTCCTTTACCTCTAGTGAGAGGTTACCAAATTTGCTAAGGTTGTATGAAAATAAATGCTGGATCTTTCACCTTCAATAATTTTGTACCCCCAGAAATACTTCCGCGATTCCCCCTAAAGCGACCGTGTTAAAAGGGGGACAGGAACTTCATTTGCCACGTGAATGATTGGGTCCCTTAAAACAGTGCTATTGTGTTAACGGTGCAGTACATATTTTGCACTGAACAAATTATAGTTTCTTTGACGACAAACCGATAAATTAGTAAATGAATATACCTGATACGTGTATTGCTGAAAAAGATGCGGCGTAAGATTGGTAAAGTTTCGATACTTTGTTCCACACAAGTTCAATCTGCATTGTTTTAATTATATAAAGTATGGAATAAACCTATTCGAAATTGTTCTCATTTATTTCATCCAGGTTGTAAATGTAACATAAAACGAATGAGTAAAACACTGTGAAGATTCGTCAGTTGCATCCTTTACCTGTTAAGCAGTACATTTTTTTAATCAACATTATCAACAGCAGTATTTTGAACGGCAGTGTGTCACTATCCGAAAATCCTGTGTATATCAGCGAGTGTAAAATGCCCCCAAATCCCCACAGTATCGGCGAGTGTAAAATGCCCCAAATCCCCACAGTATCGGTGAGTGTAAAATGCCCAAAATCTGCACAGTATCGGTGAGTGTAGAATTCCCCAAAATCCCCACAGTATCGGCGAGTGTAAAATGC